AGAAAGAGAGCGCATGCAGTGAGAAGAGAAGTAGAGTAGCTGAAACTGATGAAAAGTCGGAAGTTTAATCGGATATAGCAATGGAATCTCGATCGTGGGAGATAAAATCCATTTATTGTTGCCATTATAACACTGTGTTTGGATTTTAAATTAAGCATGTGGAAAGCACGATCAATTTGTAAACACTTACCCAAAAAAAAATTCAAAACACTTTAAGTTTTTTTATTTTTAAGTGTATGACTTGCTCAAAATAAATTTTACCCTGGTGGATTAGTTGCACTCTTCCAGAGCAAACACGAATGGATATGCGATTATGCATTTTTTTAAATGGGATGTTATTGTTACAAGTGTTTGAGGTTATTTATTTATTTATTATTATTATTGAGATTAAGAACACGTTTAGATATAAGTTACAAGTAATTTTGAAAAATCTTTTTATTAAAAATAAAAAATTATTTCTAGTAATTTAAAAAAAAAAACGTTTTTATACTTGTATTTAAATAGATTCTAAATAGCTCTATTTTAAAAATAAAAAGATCAAAATTATATATTAAATTAAATGACCAAAAATACAATTTGATTTTAAAATAATAATCATTTTAAATTTTTAGACATAACTTTATTAAATATAACCTTCTACTCTCATCAAAGGCTTTCACTAACTCATTATTCTCCACTCCATGGTTCACAAGGTAGAAGAAAAAAACTCAATGAACGCCTATTAGTATTAACACTATATTGTATGGTGACCAACTAGGCCGAATACCCGAGTCCGCGAATGATTAGGCCGAGTAACCGAGTCTACCGACCCCTCATAATATGAACAGAATATGTCGGTGTGCTCGGCCTAGCCCCGCACTTACGCCAGGATGATTACTGAGAAATTAATTTACGTAATGCACCGGATTAATCCCCTAATTTTTCGGGGCTCAATCCTTAATCACGGCCCAATAAGAATCACTATAAATAGGACCCCAACAAGGTATATAACTAACCTTTCATCTACCGCATTTATTTCGCCGAACACTTACTTGAGCGTTGGAGTGTCTTTGCAGGCACACCCCTCCCTCACATCGGACTACCCAGATACGAACGAGAAGACCAAGACCCAGGATCTGACCCGCTACAACAAGGATAATTGAAGTGTGTATCCTAACACAGGAACAAACACACTTCAACGACATCAACCATCCAGATTCCCATTGTAATATTTTTATCTTTGCTATTTTACTAAATTCAAAGGTTATTAATAATGTTATCATTTCTTTTAATAAAATTAGCATGCATGACAAGGTTTCTTTCTCTTCTTGTTTGTTCCAATAATAATGGTACGTTCGTGAGCTCTGGGAAGACTTGCTAGTTTATTTCCAAGAGTAATGCTAAACGTTTCCAATCGAACTTGCAAATCATCTTCTAAAGCATTCGATCATTTACATTAATTTGTCAAAAAATTTAAATAAAATATTTTTAATTTTATTATTTTAAAGTTATGAACATTCGGAAGATTTTTCGGTTGAAAAAATTTGGAGAATGCATCATTTCTGTATTTCCAAATGCAACTTCATTGATATTAATGGCAACACGCTTGGTGTATATAATGTATAGTATAGGATGTGTCTCAATCTCAATTCCTTGTGTAGGAGTGTCAGGGTATTGCCACCACCTTTATTTAACATTAACATTCGTTGCATATATAATCATCCAGCCTGTCAAATCTATCTAATCAAATAAATTACCAAGAGCATCTCTAATAGAAAGTAATTCATTTGAGTTGTTTCATGCATCGAAAAATAAAAAAAGTAGTCTTTAATGTATCATGTCAGCATTAAGCAACTCAAACACAAATTTACTCCAATGATAAGAAACTTTAAGAAATTCAACTTTTAAAGTATTTTTTCTAATCATTTATGAATCAAATTTTAATTTTTATTAAAAAGGATAATTACACTATAATAAAAGAAAATAAATTACGAGAAAAAATACACAATAAGTAGATATTAAAAATAAAATAAAGTAATAGTAAATACATTAACATTATACGAAATTAATTTTTATCATTATTATTTTCGATACGTTCCTGTACTATCCGTACCGTCATGCCGAGCTCGAACTCGGCATCTCAGCGCAAAGTGACCTCGAACACGCGCTGGGCAACGTCAGCTCGATATTTAAATAGGTCATAACTGATCTCGAGCCTAAGGCCCAACAAAACCCTAATTCATACTCAGGTACGTGCATTACTTAAAAGAGACTCATTCCCACAAACATTAACTTTAGCATCAGAGTCTCTTTTGCAGGTACCACCCCATCTTGGAGCATCAACGTTCCAGTGAAGGAGGCTCACCGATCTTACCCAGCGGATCATCTCTACTTCGGATCCCCGGTAAGAACAGTTCTCAAATATGTTCAATAAGATTTGCTTGAAATCTGTTAAGTAACGGTTGCTTGAGGAAGCAACTCTCTCTCTTCTTTAAGCAACTCATGTTGTCACGTCAGAGTCCTCCAATGGTAAGAAACTGGGACTTGAATTGCTTTATGGGACAAGCAACTCCCATTGAAGTTGCTCTAACATATTTGACATTTATTTTGTACGTATATAGTAACTCAATTTCGTCCGGGAAATGTCAATTTTTGTTTAAAAAAATAGAAAAAAAGGGTATATTCAAAAAAGAATAAAAAGACAAAAATATAGAAGCCAAATGTAACACCTCATTTTTTAGATTTTTATGGAGGGTAATTTAGTAATTTTATATGATTTTAGTAGTCCAGAATGGGCTGTTCCAAAACTGGAACGGGTCGTTCCAACCTTCCAAAAACAACTATAATTTCTAGTCCGGAACGGACTGTTCCAAAATTGGAACGGGCCGTTCCAACCTTCCAAAAACAACTATAATTTCTAGTCTGGAACGGGCCGTTGCAAAATCGGAACGGGTCGTTACAACCTTCCAAAAAGACCTAAAATTTTATCCCGGAACGGGCAGTTCCCAAACTGGAACGGGCCGTTCCAATCTTCCAAAAAGACTTATAAATTCTATCCAGAACGTGTTGTTCCCAAAAATTGGAACGGCTCGTTCCCAAACTGTAACGGGCCGTTCCAACCTATTAAAAAGTACTATAATTTCTAGCCTGGAACGGGCCGTTTCCAAACTCCAAAAACACCTCTAAATTATAGCCCAGAACGGGCCGTTCCGAAATTGGAACATCTCGTTCCGAAGTTGGCCGTTGTGAGTAAAATTGTAACCCCGGAACGGGCCGTTCCGGTCCCTCCTGAAAGTCTATAAATAGCGGCCCTTGCCTTCCCAAAGACACCTACACACACCCACACACACATCTCCACCTTGGACCAAAGGGAGCTCAGAAGGAGAAACCAACAAGTTATCACTTCTTGAGCGAAGAATAGTGAGTATATCGAACTCACTTTCTTTTTATTTATTTATTTATTTTTTTTATTATTTTTTTATTAGTAATATCTGTTATTTTAAAAAAGTTTATTTATCATCTTAAAGTCTTATTTAAATTCAAAATGTGATTAAATATCAAAATATAGTGTTATAATATTTAATGTAAATATCTGAAATTATTGTATTAAAAATTTTATTGGAGGAATGGTTAACTAGATGTGACATCTTTTTAACCTTTGAATTTACAGCTTATCTTTAAATTTTTTCTCCAAAAACGAAAATGTCCAATTAATAAATTTTTTAATATCATAACATCTCTAGCAATAATTATAATTAAAATTTTATTGAATTGACTTTGGTGTACACCTTAGTCAATTTTATATTTTTAGGGTGAATGAGCTGAGACAGTTCAAGAATCCTATATTTAACAAAAAATAAAATTTAATTAAAAAATATCAACACACAAACATTTTCTACAAAGAACTACGTGACTCTGATTCTTCATTACACATGAAGATACGTAGGAGCAAGAACTAAATCTTGTCGAGCAAAAAAATAAAAAATATATTATCCTCCTTTTTATATAACAATAATAATTTTAACCTTTTTTTCAATGCATAATTTAAATTAGTTAAATAAAATATATTCGATTATTTTAGTGAGATAAATATTTTTATAAATTATAAATAATTAGTTTAATTAATTAAAGGTAATCGTCTTAGGACGAACGTTGTGAGGTGCTAATACCTTCCTCACACGTAATCACTTCCGAACTCAAAATTTGGTTTTCGTAGACTATTTTCTATTTTATGGTTTTTCCAATATTTTTTCGTAAAAAACAACATTGGTGGCGACTCCTCTTTTTCAATTTATTTTTCGCCGTCCCATCGCGACCGAGGTTGCTACAACGTATCTTTTTTTTTTTTCTTTCTTATAACGTAAAACATATACTAATTATTATTATTATTATTATTAAACTACAAAACAAAAGGCTGAATTATTTAATAGAATGACAGAGCCGCCATTTTTGGAGCTTATATAAGAATTGGACAAAGAAATGGATTTGATTGTGTGTACAAATTGATTTGGTTTGGCAATTTCAATCGGTAGATATGCGTATATGATAAAATAATCTCACTAGTAGTCGCATGTGTTTTTAACTACATTATTTAAAATTTAAATTCTAATATTAAATATAAAATAAATTATATTAAAAGAAAAAAAATATTTTTATGTGTATCTATGCTCTTCAACAAAAATTAATCATTACTTTCAATAATAAATATTCATATTAATATTATAATTATTTTAAAAAAAATATAATAACATATTTAAATAAAATACTGGGTACCAAATATTACTATATGATATGTCCCCATTCACACCCATCCCAACAAAAGGAAGGGATAAATGAACGACTTCACATCTCCATTTCTTTGTATCGACTTATTGTCTAATATATATATATATATATATATAATAGTTTTAAATATATAATGGACATTCATGTTTTTTATGATTAATATTTAATATAATTTATACGCTTAAAATTATAAAAATAACAAGAAATGAAGAAAAGAAATTTGAAGACATCCAAACTGGAAATGACGTACCAGCTCTACAAAAATTTCCCATAATCAATTTTAAACAGACACACTATCCAGAATGCAGGAATATAAAATAGTCGACAACATATTTGAAGTGGGAAATAATTGATGAAAAGAGAGGACAACTTCAATCAATGGCATGCATTCAGGCTGAAAAGATCTTCTAGTGATCGTTTTCCTCTCGCATCCTTATTGCTTAAGCTCTTTGGTTTATTAATTTATTTTCTTAAATAAATGAGTGGATAAAACATTTTAAATTCTTGTCAAACTGGTGTGTTTCTTGTACGTGCATCCATGTAGTCTCCACTGCGGATTGGAGCGAATCTACACAGAAAAATTGGACAAGAGATTAATTAATATGTCAACTAGTGTGTAAAATTTAATAAATATATCCAACTCTCTGTATTTTAGTCTATCTAGATTATTAGTCAAGATATATGAATCTTAATAAGAGATCAAATTAATTTGTACCTTGGAGGAGATGACTCGCTGCAACAACTTTCTATGCATTTCACGATACAATCGGGATGAGGGTCTAAGAAAAATGCCATCTACAAAATAGCAACTTTTAACACATTACCAAATCATGCTAAGTAACCAAAATACCTGCTACTAAAATGAGACAAAAATCATTAAATTTTGGTGTGTTGGCCTCTTGGGTATGAGCTTCTCGTGATCTATTCTGAAGACAAATTTCAACACAACCTTTTCGGAGAAATTGTCATCAACTTCTTATTTGGTCTTTACAGTGTATATTCCACTTCTAAATATTGTGGTCGTTCAATGGTATATATAATATATCAATGCAAAACCAGTCCAGTTTAACTTCATTCACATCCTTTGTAGAAAGTGTAATGATATATCTACTAACAAATTCTCCTACTATTTTATGAATAAAGTATTAAATAAAAAAATAAATACATTTAATATCTTAAAAATATAAAACACATTTAATACTTACCTACAAAAGAAGTGGGGGAATTAGTAAGAGAATATATATATTCTCCTATAATATTTGGTGTGGAGTATTATGCTCATAATTTGCAGTTGTATGATATTATCTTTATAGTAGGGATCACACTCAGCAAAATTCTGGTTTGATAGGTTCTGTTGAGTGGTAGGTAAGAGGATTAATTTCTACACAGAACTGTTGGTACTTGGTAGTGTTAAATGAAACTTTTTCTTTTGCCGATAAAATATTAGATAAAAGACCTTAATCGTCATCAACCATTATTAAAAAAAATAATGGAATAAATATATAAAAATAAAACAACTATGAAAAGTAACTTATTATTACCGAATAACGCTCTTTGCAAGTTCGTTTAACCCGGTGCATTGTTGACCTACAAATTTAATGGATAAGTTGAGAATTGAATATATTATTTGTAAGAGAAACAAACAAATATATCTAATTAGGATAATAATTTATAATAAGATTTACCTGTATAAACAATTTGTCCACCTCTCCATCAAATCTCCAATGTTCACAATAAAGGCCCTGAAAAAGCAAAGTGAGAACATAACACTATATCAAGATAGAACTGATAAAATGTACAACATTTTAATGTAACTTGATATATAGTCTATAATAGATAACATATTTTAGAGGGATCGGATTTCAATTGATTTCAAAGCATCAATAGATTCTATACAAATTTACTATTTCATGAACTCACCCCTCTATGTAAGATACATCTTCCCAGACTAGTGGTTCCCTTAACTTGTCCCGACAGATCTAAAAATATGAAAATAAAAAATTTAAGTCCTCAAATATAAAAATTATAAATTAAAGAAATTATAGCCTAATTTTAATTAGGACTTGACTTGGGTCCCTATGAATGGATATTTTGTTGGTTAAATCTATTCATGAAATATTGAAATGTGATAATCTCTTATTTTAACAAACCTTCTCGGGACGAAACTCAATAACTAAAAACTATTATTTATAACTTATAACAATAGTAAAGTATGCACATTTTTATCTTTTAAATGTCATAAACCCCTACTACTCTAATTTAATCCCACAATAAAGGAAATATGCCTTTTTAATATAATGTACATATTCTTTATTCTAATTTTGGCCTTGAAGTGCATGTGCAACTCCCTATTCTTTCGTTTACTCCTCTTTTGGTACACAAAATGGAGAAAAAAATGAGACAAAGGGTAACAAAATGAAGAAGAAATAAAAAAATCATTGGTCATTCATTTTGTAGGACATTTAAAAAAAAAAAAAGTGTGGATTAAGTCTCCGTGAAAATTAACAGCAAACATGTTAAAATTTACTCGTAATCAATTAAAAAAGATATTGTAATTGATTACACTGCTTTTTATATACGAAATCGTAAATGTATTTTTCATTTAATGAATTGAGTTTTTTATTCAATAGATTGTTTGGACTCGGAATATGTTTAAGCATATATATTCAATGCAATCGATTGAATATCTTTTTGTAATTGATTGCAGTTATGTCTTAAATCTTTTAATTTAATATTAACATAAAAAATTAATTTAAATTTTTTTAAAATTTTTCTTTCTTTCTTTTTTTATTTATTTATAATCTATTTTGTTCTTCTCTATTTTTATATACTTTATTTCTTATCTATTTTTTTCATCTTATTAAACATATAAAATAATATTTCTCCTTTTCTTTATTTCTCTAAAATTAAATAATCAAAATTTATTTTATTTCTTACTTATTTTTATTTGTCTATTTTTTTCTTCTGTATTTCTCATCTCTCTATTTCTTATTTATTTATTTTCCTAAAAGTCATACGAGATAGATGTGTTTGGTTCACACACTTAACTGCTATATATAGACCCAAAGAAAAAGACACTTCACTGTCATCAATTACCTAATACCTAGTTACTCTACTTTCACTTTCACATTTTTTATTCCGCGTCTCATATTTCTTTCACAAGTAACCCTCTCTTTGTATAAAAATAATAATAATATAAAATATTAAATTTTACATCTAACTTATAAATTAAAAATTGTGGATAGACGAGTATATGTCTTTCCACTTTCCACTAATATGTATAAATTAAACACAGTTTTGATGACTTCTGTTCCGGTATACCTAAAAATTTCACAGTCAAGATTAGATTAAGGGTAGTTTATAAACACTCTCCTTCTTTATGGTAGGAACAATTTCCATAAAAAAATTATATAAAACTTCAGTAGTGAATTTTTCATCCTAAATTTTAAAGGTGTACAAATATATATATACCCAAAATGAATAAGTAAAATAAAAGTGAGAACCTGTAGTCCTGGAACTCCCTCGGTCGTTAGAAGAGTGAGTGTGCCAGAATCTGAATGAGCAGAACATATCTCTTCGTGAGATCCCATTTCACCTAAAAATTTAAAGTTTTATTCCATCATTTAAAAAGAAACCAGAAAAAATGTTATTTATATATGCTAACTCTTTTATTCTTATATATAATATCAAGACCATGACATGCATCCTTTTTAATATTTTGCAATGAAACAAAAAAAAATTCATACACATAATTTATCATTTATGAATCAAAGTTGATAATTAAGGATTAAGTAAGAGAGAATAATCATATAAAACTTAATTTTAATTAAGACGACTAGTGAAACTTAACTTAAGTGGTTTAGTACTTCTCGAATTGATAAATGGAACTAAATTAAGTCACAGATAAGAAACTCTTTTATCTTAAAATTTGTGTAATTATATTTAAATTTTTAATTCGATTTGTGAAATCTACAGACTAAATTCACGAATTTGCGGACTAATTTACATATTTCACTAATTATTTTTAAGACATTAGTATTTTAATATTTGATTGTATATTTAAATTTTTAAATTATTAATACATTAAAATTATGTTAAGTTGGTGTGTATTTTTTATTTGAATTATTTTTAAGATATTTTGATGTTATTATTGAGTTTGAGATTATTATATAAATATTGATAATAATTTTAATCTTAACACTTTAATATTTAGTGATTAAGATAATTCTTCCAATTTTATGTATTTTAGTGTGATAGATTTTATCTTAAAAAGAAAATATTTTTCTTTAATTTTATGTATTTTTATTTTTTGAAAATTTACTTTTTTCAAATTATTATTTAGGTTTGCAAACCATTTTGTTTATCCATAGATTTTAGTAGATCATATACAAACTTGAAAAAAAATTCATTTATTTAACAAACTGAATTTATTTAGTGTGTTTAAAATGCAAAATTCACAAATTAAGTCTTACGGATCAAATCGTTAATATATTTATCCCCTTATACTCCATAATTAAGGATAGAAATTTAATCCCTAATTTAATTATAAAATCCCACTAGAAATATCACTTTAGCCCAATTTTGCATCAACCAACCACTTTGAAGAAATAATTTATTAAAAAAAAATTGGTTGTAAACCTGGATAGCGCAAAAGGCGAAGAAAAGCTGATGGTCTGTCCACAGCACCTATCTTCTCAAAGAAATCATCATCCATATTCAAGGAAAGGGCAATTAGAGATAACAACTTTTTTCCAGCTCCACTGTGTCAAATAATTATATAAAAATATATAAATAATATGTTATTATATATATAAAAAAATTAAGAATATAACAAACCAAGTTGGGATAACCATGTCAAAATACTTGGAGTCAAATTTTTAAAACTGATCAAACATGATGTTAAAATAATTTGGAACCACGTGAACATAATGCATAATATTGGAGGGGGAAAAACAAACAACTTACAAGAGTTTCCAGTAGAAGGATTCTATTGATGGTCTCCAATTTTCAAGTGATTCTGAAGTGTCCTCGCAACACAAATATCTCAAATAAATCTCATGTACATCACATGTATATGTATGCAGCCACAAATGGTTCATATTTGTATAATGAAACCATTACAATTTAGGATAGTTAGGTGAGAAGCATGTATATACCATCTGAAGGCCATTGATTGAGATTAGCATTTGTTGAATCAGCCATTGGACCAATATAAAAGCTCTCTTTTGAATCTCCTGATCAACATTATTTGCAATGATGATGACAAGTTTTCCTTCTTTCTAGAAAATTAACCATTAAATAATAGTGTCTTAAATTAACAAGAAAAAAAAATGAAAATATACCTTGGAGGCCTAAAGTAGGATCCTGAGGAGTATAACCTCTAAACTCCTTGCGAGCCAACTTCATTTTTTCTTCAAGTGAAAGTGAGAAGAACCTTCTACTCTCATCAAAAGCTTTCACCATGTCATCATTCTCCACTCCATGGTTCACAAGGTAAAAGAAACCATACTCAATGCACGCCTATTAGTATTAACACACTTCAACAACATCAATTAACCATCATGTTTCCCCGTGCTATTAGTTGACTAACTTCAATGTATATTAATAATGTTCTCATTTCTTTTAATAAAATGATCATGTTTGTATTTAGTTGTAATATAAAAGAGAAGAGAAAGGAAGAACCTGACGGATGGAATTGGCAGTAGAAAGACGATCAGGTGAGGAAAGATCTATGATAGGGAGTTTCATTGTTGCTGATTTCTTCTTCTCTTCCTTTACTTAGATCCAATAATAGCATGTTCCTGACTCCTACAAAGCTTACTTTATTTCCAAACGCGGGGTTGCTTAAATAATTAATTAATATTAATGGCAATTACGTGGCATATATAACATGTGATGATTTTCATATTCTTACGTAGAAGGAGGAATATGATGAGGGATTGCCTCCAACTCCAACTTAAAAAATAATATTCGCAATAAGCGTGGCATATAATATATATATGACATATATGATATCCGTTTGAAAATTAAGCATGTGGAAAGCACGATCAATTTGTAAACACTTACCAAAAGAAATTGTATATACTTTTAGTTTTTTTTTAATTTTAAGTGTATGACTTGCTCAAAATAAATTTTACCCTGGACACTTAGTGGATTAATTACACTCTTCCAGCAAACACAAATAGATATACGTTTTTTTAAAATGGAATGTTATTGTTAATTACAAGTGTTTGAGATTTTTTTTCCTATTGTTATTGTTATTGAGATTAAGAACATGTTTAGATATAAGTTACAAGTAATTTGGAAAACTTTTTTTTATATTAAAAATAAAGAATTATTTCTAGTAATTGTTTTTTTTGAAAAATACTTCTATATTTATATTTAAATAGATTCTAAAAAACTCTATTTTAAAAATAAAAAGATCAAATATATATTAAATTTTTAGACATAACTTTAAATCCTTTGTTGGTTTATTCAAAAAGTAAAACTAGTTTCATTAAATTCACCACACGAAAATTATAAAATTTAATTGATATAGGAATAAAAAAAAGGAATACAAATATAATAAAAAAACGCATGAAAAGTAAATTCCCAAACAACCAAGAGAATCTAATATTAGTTTTTTTATTAAAAAAATTCAGTTAATCGTCGAATTACTTTTCAGGCGATTTTCAATGTCGAGAAAGAAAATCAAATTTAAGTATTCATATGCGCCAAAACAATAACAAATTTAAATTTAGAATAAGAAAGATATCACTTTTGGAAATTAATTTATCTTATTTTAAAGAAGGAAAAAGCACAATAAATTTATATTAAATGTCTTTTATTGATCTGCTGTGAACCAATTTTTGATCAGCATTTTTAGGCCACTTATGATCTTTATTTTAACTAAACACTTAACCAGTTCACTTATCCATTCACTAATTTTGCGATACATTTTCTGATTCATTTTTCAAAACACTGTTCTTGATAAATATTAAATTATTTAAATTTTATATCTTAATATTATGAGAGATTAAATAAACCAGAGACTAAAATTTAGACATAATCTTATGATGTTAAAATTGTACAAAAGATTAATCCCTTAACTAAAATATTTGTGAACCCAATGGTGAGATTCTGGCAAACGACTCTTTAACAATAAAATTTTCTTCATTGAATATTAGCTGCACAACGAAGACCTGCGTAAATGTATAAGTAAAAAATCCCGAGTTCCAAAAAAAGCAAAGCTCTCAACTTTAAAACGACTCTTTCACATGTGCATTTCTTGTTTCTTCCCATAAAATTTCCAGAAACCTTCAATCAAAAGGTCGAGTTTTCATCTCTTGGCAACTCTGCTACGTCTTGTTTTCCGTGTTGGAGTTGCATAATAAGCCATATCCAAAGCTCTTTCCATATCCAGATTATCTTCCTCATCGCTCGCTCCATCAGATCTCCATCTAGGTCTACCATTGATGTTTTCTTCGGTATTTAATTTCTTCTCTACAAGGCTAAAGAAATGAAGTACACAAAAGGATTCAGTCTACAAAAATAGTATACCCTTTTAACTTAATAAAAAACATCAGTAACGCACATGGGTATATTCTTATATACGATAATTATACAAGATTATCAACAGCAATGAGCTAAAGAAATGGGTAACTAGATTCTTACCTCTGAGAAACATCCATCGCATCATTAGTTGACCCCATATTCCAACTTTTATTATCTTTATGTGATTGAACATTACTAATAGATATATTTGGGAGATCATTTACAAGTTCTGTAGGATAGCTAAGGGTGGATCTAGTAACAGGGCTAGCTGTACCCTTCCAGGAGTACATAGGACTGGTAGTTTGATTATGGCCAATAAGTAGATTTCGTTCAACTCCAGGCGAGATTTTGTCTGGCATAATTTCCTGGGAATTGCTTGGTGATGACCTGTTAAATCCCCTCATAGGTGAACCATTCATCAAACGGATCTTATGATTCCTCAGAGTTGGAGTGTTATCATATCTAGGATTTTTGCCGATTTTACCTTGATGACTTGGAACCCTCTCGTTATTGGAAAATAACCCATCACGATGATATGATGAGGAACCAAAATTACCAAGCTCAGGGCCAGTAGGGGGGAAAGACATGCCTGTTTTGGCTGAAGCTCCCAAAATCGATGAACTCAACAAGCCAGTTGTATGTTCTCTATGTAGAATGTGGGAAGAATCCACAGAAGGAATCAATAAACTGGTCGACAAGGAATCCTGACTCTGAGGAACATCAAACTTGTCAGGAATTTCAACTTCTTCATGAGAAGTAGCAGCACCTTCGGTCAAGTTTCCGCTCCTCAGTTGTTGCTGTTCAACTTCAGGCAACAACTCCAAGCATCTACTCTGTTTTGTTCAAAAACATAAAATATCCACAACTTCATTCTAAGAACGATAGTTTTATCCAAACATGCTAAATAAGAGTCAAATTTATTTATTTATTTCAATGGGCATAGGAAACATAACAACTGCTAGACATAAAAGAAACCAATGCCTGTCAAGGTTCAAGAATAAAAAGTTTGAGGAAGAAAACATTAGCTTCAAAATTAAAGATTTTGAATCACTTACAATCAAATTGGCTCTCCAATGAATAGCCTTTTCTAATCTTGGCAGAAATTCTTGACGTACAGAACCTTTTAAAATGCAGTCTTGCTCCACCTTTTCAAGTCTAATATGAACTTGGTATGCGTCAGAATATCTGTGGCGCTGAAACCAGAATAAATATAAGCCAGAAATTCTCACATTTTCCTCAAAATTAAATATTACCATTAGATATGCGAAACTACCCCAAGACATTTTAAGAAGCAAACTGAACTAACAAGATCAATAAACCAGTAGCATCAATGTTGGTCACGGAACCAACTATTGAAATTAAGTACCTGAATATAAAAGACAACAAGTAGATTTCCTGTTGTCCTTAGAGGGTCTTCAATAGCATAATCCAAAAGAAATTTATGTATATACTTCTCTTCCTCGGAATTCCATGGCAATTCTAGCATCCGGTCCACCAAGTTCCTCCTAATACAGAGGCAACAAATCTCAGTCACCAGGACCTCCACCCACTCGACCCAATTATTATGTTGGCCTTTCAGTTTCTCTGAAGTATCACCAGATGCTCTTTTATTGAAATTATTTTCCTTCACCCGGGTGCAGAGCACTCTCTGATGCATAAATGCTTCAGTCAGAAGCCCACACTCAACCCTCACCCGCACTGCAGTGACAGCATCTCTGAGTGAAGTCAAGTGTGGTCCACCATCACGCCCAGCCCACCTCAAAACCATGAGAGCCGTATCAGGGCTACCCCTTTCTAACAGCACTTCAGCAATTTTAGGATGTGATGCTGGGCCAGTTATTTCAGGAAGAAGGCGACAAGCTTCCTAACAGAATAATAAATAATATTACACTTAAAAAGGAAACAAAACAGGTTCACAGTAAAACCCAATACTCAGGCTACAAATTCTTACACCACAGATTCCAAGCTTCATTTTAGCCCCTTGCTTATATTGGCAAAAGGTGAATCATGGTGCTATTAAATGTGACATTTTACTCTGAGTATAAACAAGATCACCCGCCTTACAAATAAAAGAGATGAAAGAAAGGCCCAAATAAACCTAAAGCTAAAGCCTAAATACATCTTTACTGCTTTATTTTCAGGATGGCATATAAGATTCCAATACAATTATTACAGAATAAAGCTGATATCTTTTCCTAGTTAAATATAATTCTTATCAGCGGTAAAAGGAAAATCAGTAAAGCAACATTGATACAAATAGATTCAATAAATTTATCTTGAAGACCAGGGAAAATAAGCCTCTACAAGACTCATTGGGCATAATATCTGTTGAAGTTACCTGTAAAGCCTCCTCGGTGTGATCATCCAGAAGGTAAAAAGTCAAAGACTCAAGTAATGAGTGCCTACTAATACTAAATGTAGCTGCAAAGTCCTCCAGTACGTGTCTCCATTCTTCATCTGGTATTGTCCAGTGGCGATCATACAAATAATACAGAAACTATAGAAGTTAAGGAATAAAATAAGTATTGCTCTGTTTCCAAAGGAAGATACCTGTAGGAACCCAAAAAATAGAGGTATTGCTCTAAAAAATAACTATAATTGACAGAAACAAATACAGTTATACACCCACAATAAAAGTTAAGGCTAAAAGGATACAATGGCCTGCTTTGCAATCACTGTATCAGAGCCTCCATGCAAAAAGAGCGAGTCAGCAGCAGCACGAAGATTTTTGAAGGGATAGTAACCCAGCATCTGATCAGTATTTGACCCCAAAAATGATGCACCATCCTTCTGCAAGGATGCAATTTCAAATCCCTCTGCTACTTCGTGCATAAACCCCTCCTCCAGATCAAGATTATTCAATGCATCTTCAACAAAAAGAGAGCCATCGTGTCCCGATGACTCCACAGATTGATTTATTGCATCAGGCCAAGCACGTCTAATTGCTTCTGATTTCCGCTTGCGAACAACTGATGCCCATGATAAACTATCAGTAAAACGTGATCTCACATTCTCTAAAAATTGGTGTCTTGTACACCAAATAATAATATCCATATGCTGGGAAGAAGGAAAAAAACAAATTAATCAACAGAATGAAGATTGCAATTAGCTATTCTATTTTTTGAAACTACATACTTCTGGGACAAAGGGAGACAGATCGAGGAAGACTACCATCCAGTCAACCACTCTTTACAAAAAATAATAATGAAAGTGTAAGGTCATATATCAGTCACTTTTACAAACACCCATCTTGCATACAACATACATCATGATAGTTAATTCAGCCAGGAAGGTTACCCAGCCATTGTCGTACACACTTTTGAAGCCTAGGGAACAAAGACAGTATCAGATTAAGAACACAATGCACAAACACAATAACAATACAATTTAAAAAAGGAGAATATATACAAATTCATCATGATGACTTCACAGCACATCAGCCAAGCAAGACATGTTTCAAAAATCAAATATTAATGCAAAAACCATAACAGTTATACAATTACTCAATTGAACACATTCTTGCAGAACTAAACCTGCTTTGTCTTTAAGATGATCTCTTGGAGATGGTGCAAATCATGAAGTTGTGCTGAAAGAGTACCCTTAAAAGATGACTCCAAAATGTCTAGCACATTTGATATGCCCTTCAAATATAATGAAAATCTCATAAGCAAACTCAATCTCTCGTTCATGCCTAAAACGTCCATATTATCTGGCGAAAAATTTTAAGGGACACAGATATTAACATGACACAAAGGTCATACTAATAATTAGCTTTAGATATCAACAATAAAACAAGGTTTGAGGATACAAATTCCCTGCAGTTCAGTAATTATGTTTTTGAATGTCCTCTTGCACCAATCCTTCACTACCACTTCATCCAACAAAAATGCTATGACAGGATCACTGGAAACAGCAGTTTCATCCATACACACATCTGTGATGTCTGTAAAATTTCTGGTCAAGAAAATGCAAAGTGGAGACATGGGGATATGACAAAACTATAGGATAGATAAGAAAAATAGGATAGTAGAGAAGAAAAGCAATATTTGTTTCTCTCAAGTGATAACATTAATAAGACATAATCTTATCATATAACTTTACTTACCAATTGACGGGTATTTATATTTTAATTTTGATAATTAATAATAAAATAAGTATGCCAAGAAAAGAACTGACATAGAAAAGGATACAGTGGCAAATTAACGAAACCAAATTATTCTCAAGTGCAACATCAAACAAAGAATAAAGGCGCTGGACATCAGCAGTTAGTTCCCCATCTTCTATTTCCTGAAATCTCTCATCACACCTTTTTGAAATAAGGCCAGCTTCAATGCACTCATAATAAAGTCGGAGACGCAGTTTAGTACCGCTCTTTGAAATTGGGATTCTACAAATTGGACAGATATCACACCGTTGACTACATTCTTCACATAAAGAGGCATGCCCACATGAATTCAAAACATGGTGGACATATCGACCACAGCTTCTCAAGTCTCGAGTTGCTCGACAGCGCTCAACTTTGGCTTCTTTGCACAACTCTATCAGATCAATAGCTGCCAAGTGTTCCAATGTTTCCTGAAATCAAATGTCACATGCCATTTCTTTTCTATTATTTTCTGAATAACAGTAATTATTTACTTCACAAATATGAAAATCTAACTTCTATTCCACACCAGTACATGAAAATTAACTCATTTACAGAAATAATTCATTTTTTTTATTTTCCAGCATCAGAACAAGCAGAATAAGTATTCAGACAGAAAAAACCAACCAATTGAAGCTATTGACACAAATAAACAGGATGCAATGTTAAATTTCATCTTAAAACCAATTGGCATTAAATAAAGTTTACCAACCAATATATAAGTTACACCCCAAGAATTGAGACAGCAAATGTGGGACAATTTCAAGATAGGCTACAGGATGTGAAAGCATGTTAGATTACATCTTAAAACCAATTAGCATTAAGTGAAGTTATCTAACAGTTATATATAAGCTACACCCAGTGTTATCAACCTTGAATTGCAGAAAGCCAATAATCTGCTATATCAAATAGCGGATAGTGTTCCAGGCAAATAGCAGAAGTTGCATTACAGTTAAATATATAACATATCAATTATATATGTATAAAAACGTAAATTGTACGATAAAAAGCATAAAAATTGACATAGCAACTCAAAAAGTTCAATTAATTGGATACTCAACAGAGATGACTAGAGGATATACAGGATACATGCTGCAAACATGACACCATAGCAGCAGCTATAGCAGAAGGATTCATGACCACGGATTCAAGGAACTCCATAATGCAATAGCGTTATAGCAACTATTTAACAACACTGCTGCACCCAAAAATTGAGGTAAGCGATGTGAGACCTCCCAACATGCATCATTCATAAAATCAAAATTATGAACAAGTCCCACCTATGATGCAATAGATATGATCCGATACATATCCGTATGACAATAGAAATATTTTAAAATGTATAGAATACAATACTTGTAAAATACACACAGGATATGTATCAATATTCATTAAACATAATAAATATATAATTGCAATTTTGTAAATCCATATTAAGTAAATACTTCTTGTACATTGCGTATCAAATTAAATATATATATATATATATAAATATAAATCATTATCATCATAAATTACTGTGTTATTTACAACTAGAGATAATACTATTAATCTTATTTTTTCTTAAAATCATCCATAAAGTGGACATTTTCGGTTCAGCGAGGTAGAGTGTTTTTAATTTTCTATATTATACATGTTTATGCGATATCGCATACTGTATTGGATTTTTCATAATTTTTAAAGGTTTATATTCTTCACATATACGTACCAATGAAGTATATCAATGAATTATCCAAGAATATTGGATGCAGATAAGTAAAACAAACTGAAGATCAATGTTTCATAACACATGACAAGCACTCACTTTATCAGATTAACTCACGCTAACAAGTCCCCAAACAACAAATAATCCATACACTTTAGGAACAAGAAGTAAAAGCTTCGTAAAATTATGAATATGTCGTTAAAGGACAACTGTTCAATTGCTTATTAGGTTTAGCTCTTACATTACTACACTGATCTCCTTTGGCAATATACAGCTCAAAGCAGCCTCCTGAACCTAACCCAATCACTATGAATCTCAGAGTACTGAAACCATAAAAACATTATATAAAAAAACAGCATAACAAGGCATATACGCAGGAGAGTGAAATTATAGGTGAAACTCATAATTCCAATGAAAGAATCCAAACTAACTGTTCACAGATTGGAGCAAACATGAAGCAAGCAGCAACAGAAGCCTATCATAATTGAAAGATTAACAAAACCTCTCTGGAAGTTGAAAGGAGAATGGAAAAAGCAGGAACACATAATTTCGAACCAAACGGTGCGTTAGTGATAGGTAGCTAGGGTTTACGAAGTAGCTGAGGAGAAAGAGGTGAAGAAGTTGAAATTGAGAGAATGAGTAAGCACCTGAACTAATCGGCTACTGTAGTTTGGCTGTAGCGTCGGAGAGGAAGATCTTACGATGGCAGTGCCGCCGTTAGAGCTCGACGGAACGGTGGGTCCGTTGAGCCTCCTATCCATCTCTCAGAGACAAGCCTATGGTTGAACACACAGAGATTTTATCAAACAACGAAATGAGGTGCGAGATTACCAAACAGTGCGAAGTTGTAATGCTTCAGTGAAGAAATGCGTCCCTCAAAAAGACTCTGTCGTAGAGGGAAATTTTTCATGGAAATTGGAAATGGAGGGTTTTTCAAGCACTTTTATATTTTTTTTTTATCTCCTCCATTTCACTTGTTGGGTCAGTTTCGGGCTGGGCTGTAACCCAATATGCCCATTAAGCTCATCTCTTCAAATTGGTTTTCATTTATGGACCCATGTCTTAGTTTAAGACATTCTGTCGTAGAGCCTTGTCATTAATTAAAAAAAAATCCATTAAAGTGTCCATGTAATCATATATTACAATACATTAGACTTGATCTCTAAAGAAAAAAAAAACACCATACACGTTTATAATATTGTGCATTTCATAAAATAAATGTTTATTATATATAATTAAAACTTATAATAATTTATATTTACAAATAAATATTTATATATATGTATTATATTTAAATTTTATATAAATATATTTTTTAAATATATAAATCATATTTTAGATTTAAAATAAATAATTTATATTTATCTTACAATAAACCTGTATTGCACCGTGTAACGGAAGAGTGGAAGGTCCTTTAGACAGGTCATACACTCAAATGTTATGAACCTAAATAGTCATTGAATTTTCTTAGAGACAGTCTTCCATGCTGGAACACCTTCCATTGCCTGTGCAATTGTATAATTAATAACTTACTGTCTTTAGAATGAAAAAGAACAATTCTCACTTGAGAATTCTTCATCATATAATTATACATTAAAAAAAACTATTATTTTTGGATGATAAATATATTTATTTTTGGTTTAATACATCTCCTTTCTATAACCTGTTTGAAACTTTTTAATTAAGTTGTTAAACTTCAAAAAAAATATTTAATTTTCTATAATTTTAATAATTGGATTCTTAAAAGTTAATAAAATTATCACAAATTATTTTTTTAAGTAATTTTAATTCACAAACTAATTTCAAGAACCCAATTACCTTTTTTTAAAAAAAAAATAAAGACCTATTTTAAAATTTCTATAAAAAAAAACCATTAAATCTTTATTTTTTTTGTTACACACGCAATTATGTAAATAAATTACTACTATACAAATAGAAGGAAAAAAAAATTGACATCCACAGAAACATTCCATTTTCTAATCTCGATAATGCTTTTAAATTATTTACACTTGTCTATTTATGTTCTATGTATATAAGATCATAGTAATATAATATGAACTTCAATCCCGTGTATGTGCCAGGATCCATGGGAAAAGAAAAGAAATAGAAAGACTACGTACGTATACATGAAGAAGCCATGAACAAAGTATAGAAAGAAAAACATGGGAGGAAAGAGAGAGATCAACACACATTTGTATTAACCAATTTAACCAGACAATAGCAGGGTAGCCCCGCAGGAGTAGGGATAGGGCAATGTTAATAAAACAAGCATCTACAACTTTTAAATCGACCAATGCTCACATAATCCATCAAAATAAGGTTCTTTCCCCTTCTACAACTAGAAGGCATCCTCCATTGGGGCCCATCATGGCCCAAAATTGTTGAACCATTGTTTGGTCGTTCAGGGTAAACTCCTATTAGCATGTTTAAATTATTTTCCACTCGTCCAATTCGCACCCAAAACCCACGAATTCCCGCATCTTCGTAATCAATTAAGGATCTTCGGAGCATGTAACGTAGGATCGCAATCAAACCAGATATTAATTTGACTTTAACAAAATCTGCTTACACAAGAAAGCTACTATATACTCCATATAATAATTAACTAAGAGCACTGAACTTTACAGAAAGTCTCTGACTAATAATAATGAGAGTAACGCAGTAAGTATTAGAAGCTAAGAAACCTAACTAGAAGACGAAGGGTCAAACTAGTACAAAACATTAGAGACCCACAAAATCGGTTTTCCTAACCACCATATCTTAGACCACACTTTGAACACACAATTCATGGGTTCAATTTTTTTTTATTTATAAATTTTTGGTGAATTAGTCAAGATCTGGGACGGAGGGCATCGAAGGGCCTGTGTGGAACAGAGGAGGCCCATGGGCCAAGAGGGAAAGCGCGAGGGACGTGATGGTGACGCGTGGCAGAGACAGAATCGACGGCGGAGGGAGGAACCGCGACGCGCTCGCAAGAGGGGCACATGGTAAGAGTGGTGGGTGGGGTCATGTGCATGTAGAACTGCGGGGAAAGTTTGAGTGCTCTCAACTCCTGCACTTCCTTCTGCAACCTTCTGTTTTCCTCCGTGAGATTCTCGCAGCACCTTTTCAAAAACTCGCAGTCCACTTCCGTTTGCTTCAGCTTAGTCCTGAAATTTCACCTAATTTTAAATAAATATAAAATAAAAAAAAATGGAAACAAAGGCAACCTTAAAAAAAGAAAAGAAACGAAGTAATTAATGTAAAGAGTAAAGAAGCTACCTTGCCCTTCTGTTTTGGAACCACACCTCCACTTGTCTTGGTCGGAGACCAAGCTGTTTGGCGAGTGCGAGCTTTTGCTTCTGCACACATCCGCAGGACACGTGTGAGCTAGGCAACAAATTAAAGAGCGAAACAAAAAAGATGTTGTGTGTGTGAAGTGTGAAGCAGTATACTTACGGGGTTAAGAGTGTTGTGTTCCTTGAAGCTCTCTTCGAGGATTATGGATTGGTCTTTGGAGAGTCTAAGCTTCTTCCGAGTGGTTTCGGCCTCTTCTTCGTCGCTGATGCCTCTGGAACAGGCTCTGTCGGTGTCCTGGTCTTCCCCATTGGGGTCCCTTTCGCTGCGCTTTCCGCTGACGCTGGAAACGGTGCTGTTGGGAGATGAAACACCCGCTTCGTCTTCGCAGTCAACGGCGGAAGGTAACCGGTTCACGTCGATTCCGCGGAGGAATGATCCAGCCTCACCTGCATGGAAAAAAACAGAATAGATTGTTAAGGCGTGTTTGGATTTAGGGAATGGAGGAGATCTGGAAAGAAAGAAAGAAAGAAAGCAGACCTGAAGAAGTGAAAGGGTGGAGGCTTAGGGTCAAACCCAAATGAGCTTCTTTTTGAAGCGTCATGGTTGAGGTTGAGGTTGCGATGAAGATGAAGGAAGTGGTGTGGGGGGTTATATAGAAACAAGTGGAGACTTCAATCATGACTTTATTTATGTGAGGAAGCCCCAATTATCTGAATCCTGCCGTTTGCCCCACACTTCCTTTCTCTCTCCTAACCCCTCTTTCTCACCATTTCCTAATTCCTATTACACTTCAAATATACAAAATATGCTTTTCCTATTTCATACACACTTCTATTTACACTATCGCTTTTTTATTCATTCATTCTCATTTTAAATATGTTCTTCGCACCATTTATCTCATGAATTTTATATAATTACTTTTTCGATAAGCCTGATTTCTTCTTCTTTTTTTTTTCCACCACTTCTAATCATAAATTTATATCAAAGTTAAAAGTTGAACTTAGTTTTTAATTAAAATTCACAGTATTTAGTTTATATTTTTTTATAATTATAGAAGATATGACTTTTTTTCACAAAATCAATTTATAATATTCGATTGCAACTTCATGTCTATATATAATATAAAAACTTCAATCTTGAATTTTAAAACACAATTGTCAAATATATATTGTTCTAACAATTTTTTTTTTTGTTATACAATAGTTCTTCGAAGTATAGGTTGAGAAAATACTAGTATTAGAATGGAAGTGAAGTGTTTGAACTATCATTCGTGATTTAAAAAGTAAATAATTAAATTTGATTTATCGTTCCTGAACAAAATTACTTTTAAAATTATTTTTGTTCTCATTGAATTGTGTACTTTACCTTGGAATGAGTATTTAACTTTTTAAGATTATTTAAATATCAATTTCCTATAACAAAATTAAAAATATTATATTTTTAGATGATTAAATTTAAAATATTGTAATATTAATTAATTTTGATTTAAACTTAATCGTAAAATTTAGACACAACATAACAATAAAAACGATGAATTCTAAATTTCAAAATTTATTTTTGTGATTGCTTTCTCAATTTTAAAAATTATCTCCTTGGTTTATTTCTATTTAATATAAAAAAATTATTTATTATTCTGTTTAACTTAATTTTTTCATTAATTTATTTAAATTTTCTGGTACAAAAATGTTTATACAAAAAAAAAATATTTAGCTTTTTAGTGTACAAAATGCGATAAAAGGGGGGCACCTCCAATTTCTAACATTACGAGGACTATTGTATAAACGAAAAAATTAGTACGGCCACATAATTATTATTAATAAAATTTAACTAATATTATCAACAAATTGTTGAGTTTTGAGTGAGAAACAGAACTTAATGGTTTTAAATTAAGTTTTGAGTTATAATTTTATAAACGAAAAAATATAATTAAAAAAGAAAATTCCCACTAAAATTTCAATCAGATTGCTGAATATTAGTCACCTATAAAACTACTGAATACTTTACACATAAAAAATAGTACTAAAAATGTAATTGATATTGACGTAATTATATTAACTTATACAGTTACGTAATGTAGACGGCTGTACCTTTTGTGGATAATTATGATAAAATTGTATTTGATTTGTAATTTTATTGAAAAATTGTTTATAAATAGTGAAATAGTGATGATAAAATTTAAACGCAAACTTAAGGTTTAGTTGTGATTTTGGCAGCTGTCATACTGTGCTTTCTAATTTAAACACAAGGTTAATTATGTTTTATCGTGTATATAATCTAAAAGAAAATGTTTTCTTAATAAAATAAAGAAGACTTGTACGATAATAGTTTTTTCATAGAGTTTATTCTATTAAATTTTTTTTCAAATTATCATTTTTATATATACTTTTTATGTCTCATTATTTTATTATTTCTGAATATTTTCAGTTTCAATCTATTTGTTTTACTTTAAAATTTCAAATAAAACATTAATGACTTTATTTTTAATAGCACCCTTAAAAAATAAATACATTAAATATATACTGCAACTGTATAGTGTAATTAATTATTATGGAACAAACGTATTTTAATAGTATATGTCTATTTTAAATTGAAAATTGATATAATTAATTAATTTGTTAAGATGTTATCATGGATTACTTTAAATGACAAGTAAAATGAGAAAGAAGAATAAGCTTCTTGGAATGTTAATTAATAAATATAAATCATTTTTTTTTCATGAAAAATAGTTTAATATACATTTTTAATGTATTTTCATTTTGATATTAATTACGAATATTTATTAGTCCATATTGGTTTAATAACCCTAAATTTATATAAAAATCAAAATTATGCTAAAAACTAATGTTTTTATATTGTTGAATAAATAAATAAAATGGCGTAGTAGTAGTAGTAGTATTAAAAGTCATGAATTAGTGAGTAATTGTACTAGTGTAGTAAAAAGTCATTAATTAGAGTTGAGACGGAATTTGAGGATTTTAGACTTAAGATTGGAAGTGGGAACGTCTTAATTGTAATTTGAATATTAACGAAAGTGTTGAAGTTGATAGGATTAGAATAAAGAAGAATTTGAAGTTGTCTGTGAAAAAAATGGAAGTAGCCTAAAATAGTAAAATTGGAGGAGGAGTGAATGGAGCAAACATAATTAAGGGCAGTTGGTTTTGGTGTCTAATCAGAATAGCGAGAGCATTTAAGGCGGTGGGCCAGGGCGCACCTGAAGACTGCCCCTACATCAACGGCTGATGGGAAATGTGAATGGTGGGGACGGCATCATGGCCATTTGTTTTACGCATCACTTGTTGTCCAAATCAACAGAGCGAGGGGCATGATTAGAGCCAAACCGATAAGCTTTTCATTATTTATCTTGTCCCTCAATCCTCATTGGGTTTGGGTCCGCATAATTAACGATAACGAGGGCATCCCCTAGCATTAGCAACATTCAACTCAACAACGTCATTTTCTTTATCTTTTTCCCTCCCAACAACAATATTAATTTTTGTAAAGCGTATGGGTTATCCGTTGAAGGCAATTGAAGAGAGGAGAGGAGAGAAGGAAGAGTTATGTTGACGTGGGAAAGGGAAGTCACGTGGTGGCATGACACGTGCTGCAACCAGCCACGTGGGGCCCCTTCCCGGACAAATTCGTGGGTGTCGCCCTGTCCCTTGGCGCACCAACACCTTCCTCCTCACAATCATTTGAACTCCTTCAATTTCATTATTTTGTACTATTTCCCATCATCACTCTCTCGCCCCACGCCACCATTACAATTTACAACCAAATACCCTAAATATAAAATCTATTAATGATATTCTCAAGCAACTAGTTAAATAGTAAAAATAATAATAATACTAAAACTTTTTAAAGCTTGTTTTAGTAAATTATAAATTTTAATTGACACAAAAAAATGTAACATATATGTAATAATAAACGATGTGACTATCATACAGTGTCATTAATATAAATTAAAACACATTTTAGGAATATTCTTCGACCAAATGCGTTGAACTCTGGGACTACATCAGTCATAAGAGTTAAAAAAAAACAATGAGAAAAGCACATTTTTTTTATTTATTAAAGTTTAAAAAATATATATTGTAATTAACTTAATACTTTTTTTATTAATTTGTTTTCACTTTTATTTTCTTAACCTCACGTTATTTAAAGATTGTCAAGATGATGGCAATATTAATGGTAATTCTTTCATTCCATGTTTCAAGCTTTTGTAAAAGAAAAAAAAAAAACAGATAGTTTCGAAAGTATGTTGATGGTGTTTGAGTTTCGCATCAATAGTACGAGTAGTGAAATATTTATCAGATACATGTGTACTAAAGAATAACAAACATTTATGACAATGCATGCATGTAAATTTTATGCTTTGTAAAATGTATATAAATTTAGTGCGAGTAAATGTGTTCTTTTTTCGTACATTTTATTTGTGTTTTTTTCTTCTTCTTTAAATTTGGGATGGAAACAAGCATCAAATAAATGCGTAGACGTCGACAGAATTTAGGCAGACTCAATGAACTAATTAAAAAGGAAAGAATATATGATATTTTTAGGCGCAAGTGTATTGCACGTTATATATTAATTAAATAATTGTCAAAAAGTGGATACAATATTTTTTACAACAAGGTTGTGGGGCGAGGGAGTTGTGTCTATATTTATGCTCAAACGCAAATTAGATAGAAACACCATGTGATTAAATGAGATAATCCCGAAACAAAGGATTGATGGCAAAATTATACTGCTATTCTTTTTTCATCACCATGGTTTATAACAATTTTCTTTAATATTTTGATAAATATTAAATAAATGAACATTATTTTAATATGATTTTTCTGCATTCGGAATAACATTATACTAGTACGTTAGAGTTAAGTATTTACCACAAAAATAAATCAATATTATAAATAAATAAAAAAGGAGTTAGTTTTGATGACATAAAATTTATGTTATTAGATAGCTTTTTTTTTAATGATTCATTGGTTATGGAAGCGAAAAATTATGATGATCTATATGTCCTTTCAATAAAAGGAAATGGAAATTGGAAAGTCTTTATAAAAGAAGAACACCAAAAGGAATCAAGAACTCATTCTTGTATTTATTCACAGTGTCATTTATCTTTTGAAAGAAAAAAAAAAAAAAAAAAAAACTTAATACGAATAGGACGTCTTGTCAATTGTCATCAGGCACCCAATAATGAAACTCACTGTTTGACGACAATTGAATTATGGGCCCAATCCTTTTTGTTGGGTCCGTTCATCACGTGATTCGCGCGTGAAGCCCGGACCCTGATGTTCATTCATTGGCACTGTGTTTGGACTTTGGAGATATATGCGGAGATCCCTGAAATTACCATGTTGCCCTCATCTCTGACTTTGTATAATGCTTTATTGGTTTTGGTGTTAAATGATTGGTAATTTATTTCTCTCACACGTGGGACCTCGCACACGCGCGCAGACACACCCTAACTGATTAGACTTCACACCTCACTTAGTCTCCTTTCGATTTTATCTGCCCTACCAATCACGCTACACCTTTCACTTTCTTTTCTCACACCCATCGTAAATTATTGCTATTCATACCATTATAAATACGATACTCATAATATAATTTGTATGAATTATTATGGACTATTTCTATTGTTTTACGTGCAATTCTCTTTTCACCACAAAAAAATTAAAATGTAATTCTCTCTTTAAGCTCGAAACTTTCTTGAATTGAGCGTTTCAAGTTTCAACCTAACTCCTTTTCTTTCCAACATCATG